CACTAGGCCCCGAAAATTGGTAGAACAAACATCGGAACATACAGTGTGGTTTACCCATAACCAGCACGTATGCAACATTGTGGGAACGCAACACTCGACAGGAAAATTCCCGAGAACCACATGCAGCAGAATGAAGTGATAAAAAGAGATATCAATGGCGATCAATAACCAATAAACCCCGGTCTTGAGGGAAATGCAAAATGCCTAAGTGGGAACACGCATCACATTAGAATTGTAAATGGTCATCCACGACTTCGAGAAAACAAATTGATTAAGAGTCGAGTGCATTGACCAGCTACGCCGCGCAAAAGCAAAAGCAAGACTTGGAAGTGTGACTTTGTTTTAGGGCTCCGCCCCGGGTTCTGTTCCCTGCCCATCGCTGCCTCTAGCCCGAGGTCCTGCAGCACGCCGCGGCACTGCAGCCTCAAACACTGTCTTTACGAGCTCCTGGCACGACACTGCGAATTTGTCTCCGGTCAACCGCGAATCTGGTCGGGTCTCGGCATGCTGCAGGTCGCCGACTGCATTTCACGTCATAGCGCGGCGGCTTGACGTGGACGCGGGGCACGAGTGCGGAACAGCGAGTTCTCGGTTCAAAAAGAAATTTGTAAACTTGTATCTCGCGTTTGCCCAGGCACATAGCGTGAGTGGCCGAAAGCGTAAAGTGAGCAACTCTGAAGTCTAAAAGGCGGTGTTCAACTTTCGCGAAATTTAATCATTCTTCCGATGCTTCTAAATTTATTTACTTTCGCTGTGTAAAAATCCAAGTTTGATCCTCAAAGTAAAGAGGGGTGTCTCGGGGTTGTGGTCGCTCGGCCCGTGACGCGTGTGTCGGTGAATCACTGTTGAAACGGCGAGTGCGATGTTGTTTGTCCAGTGACATCAGCCGGCACACTTCTCCTGTTCAGCCGAGGCTTCAGCGGAGGCTTCAGCCGATCGCCCCGGCTGGCGTCACATCGCGTCACATCGTGGTCGCGCGCGCAAGTCGGATAAGTCAAACTGTGCGGTCAAATCCGTTTGCTGTTTTGCTGCCCCAGCGCCTGGGGATAGCGGTTCTCCTCCTTGGGGTCGCGACCTAATCCCATCCATCAGGGTCGCGGTGGGGTCGTGGCTTGGTGCCTGGGGTTCCGTGAGGACGTGAGCATTTCCTCAGGTCAAGAGCATTTCCTCAGGCCGACAGCATTTACCCAGGCTAAGAGCCTTTCTTCCGGTGAAGAGCATTCTCGCAGTCCAAAGAGCATTTGCCCAAGGCAAGAGCATTTCCTCAGACCGAGAGCATTTCTTGGGGAAACTTAGCTGTGGGCTCCGCAAAAAGTTTTGGCCCCCATTTTAGAGCTGCGAGTCACAAAAGGTTGAAAACCACCGGCGTAGGAGCTATCGAGTCGTTTGTCGCCGCCGCTGCAGCATAAAAGCTTCATCAAAAGCTTCAGCCGGCCTGCGCGGGACCGCGCTGCGGGTGGCCCACCCCGTCGGCGCGCCTTGCAGCTCCGTTAGGGAAAGGCAGAGGAGGGGGGGGGGGCACCGATGCTCCGACGCGGCCGAGCTCACGTCGTCTCGCCTTGCGAATCTAGATTTTGGCTCGACGCGCTGGTCAGGACGACGCGACCAGACGCACGTACGTACTGCATTGGGCGGGGCGGGGCGGGGCGGAGCGGGACACAAGGCAGGCAGCCCGGAGAATCTGCAGCACCTCCCGCCAATGAAAAGGCAGGAATTTCGAGGCGCCGTCTCCTCCTGTCTTTTCCGGGCAACCCGCTACCGGCGCTAAGGAGACGACCAAATGAGCGAACCGCTTCGCGGCCCCGTGCCGAAATTCGCGCCGAGGTGCTAGCCGAACCGCATCGCCGCATCGGCAGCGCTACTGAGCACTAGCGTCGCCCAGCCAGCCGCATGGCAGTGACCGCGTGCAAGCCGCGGAGTCCGAGGCGGCAGAAATGGAGGCAGTTATTCAAAATCGGCAAGCTGCGTGGTGCGTGGCACGGCGCTGCCCGGCGACTTCCTGGGCGGCGCGCCGCGGCGGCAATGGCAGATCTGGCTAAAAACCAAGTCGCTCCGCTGCGAGGCAGGCCGAGGCTTTCCGCGTGGAGCATGCAGCATGCCGTCGACGTGCGACTGCGTGCGACGCCTTGTCAAAGGGGTCGCGTACACTGATAACGGCGTCAGCCCGGCAGGAAGCACTTCCTGAGAGCAACAGACGTCGGTCCTGGTCACCTTGGTCGCCTTGGCGGCGCCCTGAAGGCATGCCTGCGTCCGCCGCGCACAGCGCTTAGTGCGCCCCGCGCCGGTCTCGCTGCCGTCACCATCATTTGGACCGCTTGGGTGACCTAGGGTGACCCGGAGGCGGCCGTGAAGGCCGTGAACCGCCTCGGCACTACTCGGCTAGCGGGTAAACACAACAATGGCGTCCGCCCGTCCACGGAGTCTCGGCGGCGCGTGGCGACGCGCAAACTAATTTTTGGCGCCAAGTCCATGCAAGTCGATCCAAGTCCGCCACACTGGAGGCCGGACACGCCGGACACGGTGGGCGGCGCGCGCACGACGAGGGCGACGTCAGCCGCGCGGCCTTTGTTGGCGGGGAAGTCCGACGGGCGGGCCTCGGGGCTTTGACGCATCGAGGGCTGGGGGAGTAATGGTGTAGCTGTCCGCCGAGGTGGAGGGTCGTCGTCGTTCGTCGTTACAGCGGCCAAAAAATTAATTCGTCAAGAGGTGCGAGAAGATGGCCCACGCCGAGCGTGGCGGCCGCTCGGCCAATGGCGGCGCCATGGCGGCACAGGACGCAGTAAAACCATCCGAATCGAATTAGGCTCCTCGCGCGGCTCGCTTAGCTGGCACGCTGTTCACAACGCACGCGTCCTATGTGACGTCGCCGAGGGCGTCGCCGCGCTAACCACGGCAACAGCCTCGACCCGGCACCGCCGCCGCACATATTTGTGTTAGAAAAAAAAAGGTATGGCCGTCGCTTATCTTAACATGATGGCGAAAAAAAAAGTAAAGGTTCGTTTTCGTCACGTGGACTGCGGTGGGGAGACCGTAAATGTGGTCTGGTTTTCTATAAATCAGTCACCAAATGTGCAAAAGTAAGAAACAAGAAGAATGCCTCCTGATAGGAAATGGAAAGATTGGAACGCAGAAGCCCAGTGACGGCAACCGGCGCCTTAAATCAGCCGGGCCGGCCGGCCACGCCTGTGCACGGATCACGCCGTCACGTGACGCGGGGCACCCTAACCTGTTCGACTCTCCGAAGAGCCCCTCGGCTCTCGACGCAGATGCAGACATGCAGACGCGTGGCTGCGCGTGGCCGACTGTGACGTCTGTTATTGTTTTGACGAGTCTAATTGTTGTGTTTTTGGGGCGCCCGCGCCGCGCAGGCCGCGCAGGCTGGGCATCACATCCACGCGCCTCCACACAATGGCAGGGAAAAAAACGGCCAAAATCTTCGGCTTTGACTCTGCATTTTGCCGGAGGGCTGTTCGGCTAGCAGCGCAGCAGTCGGAAAGGAAAGTTGGAGGAAAATGCCCTGCGACGGCTTGCAAACTCTCCAGAGCTCCCGCGGGAGATGGCGTTAGTAGACCTGCTGGTACAGAGCCTCCCCGTGGCCGAGCGGCCGAGCGCGCACACCACTGTCACACCACCGGGGCTGGGGACGCGCGTATAAAGCCGAGTGTATGCAAATGGATGAAAATGGGTATTGGAAGAGACGGAGGCAAGTCTCGATCAACACACGCCGCACTTAACGACCTCATATATCCAAGAGGACTATTATCCGTTCAAACATTCCCAAGAGAGGAATGACGTCAGAACAATCTCCGGAGAGAGAGAGAGGCGGCGGTGCGGTGACGTCCCAAAGCCTGGATAAAAGGTCCGGGCATGGCGATGGCGATGCCGATGGCGTCACGCGGCCACTCGAGAGTTCGTGAGTCTCGAGAGTCGCGCGCCGGCCACCAGAGAAAGCCTAATTGCCATTAGCTTTAGTTTGCGGCCCGAATTAGACTCGCGGTCAGACTCCTGGACGCAGGCACGCGGCCCCGCGCCCCGGCCAAGTTCAAGTCCGTCTCCGAGCAGCCCCGACCGCTCGGCCAAAATCAAGTCCGTCTCCGAGCAGCCCCGACCGCTCGGCCAAAATCAAGTCCGTGGCCGAGCAGCCCCGACCACTCGGACAAGTTCAAGTCCGTGGCCGAGCAGCCCCGACCACTCGGCCAAGTTCAAGTCCGTCTCCGAGCAGCCCCGGCCTCTCGGCCAAGTTCAAGACCGTGGCCGAGCACCCCGGCTGCGGTGGCCGCGCGGCCTGCTTTTCCTGCTCTGCCGTGGTGGGGGTGGGGTGGCGCGGGCCGCCAGGGGCGCGCAGGCCGACCCGCAGCGCTCGGCTGGCGGCGGGCTGCCTACCGCCGCACCCCAGGCGCTCGGCGGCGGCGCGGTGGCGGCGGAGCACGGTGCACTACCGCCTCGCTGCGAACGGCGCGAACGCCACAGCGACGCCGGCCGGCCGTTTCGTGTTTTCGCTGCTTTTGGCGCCATCCGCGGGGGAATCCCTCGTCTGGCGCGATTCGGTTCAGGTCGTTAGTGCCTCGAAAAAAAACGGCAGGCGGTGACTCTCTTCGCACTTGTGTCGGAGAAGGAGAAGCAAACATGTCGAGGCGCTGGAGGAGAAGATGCCGAGTGAGACAGAGACAGGGAAAGAGGCTGCAGGTGCCTCTGGTTCACTCAGCCGGCGGTGGGGGCAGCCTGCCTGCCGAGCCTGCCGAGCCTGCCAGGCCCGATGCCTCCTCCAAGACTGGTCGAGGCTGGCCGAGGAACCAACAAAGTTACGTCTTTTTACCCGCTGCCGCCGCCCCGCGCCGCGCGCCCCGGCCCCCTCTCCCGCGGCCGCATCCTCTTCTCCTCCGCGCGGGAGGCGGCCGGGAGGCGCGCCGGGCCGGGTATCGAGTACCAATGGGGTACCGTCTTGGCCGTCTCCGCATCTTCGGGTCACAGGCTGGCCGCGCGCGCTCCAAGCGCCAGTCCGCCAGTCCAATCGCCAGGTGCCCGCCTGTCATCGCGGAGTGTCGCGGAGTGCCCCGTCGCCATCGCCCCCATCGAGGCCATTGAGTCCGAGGGGTCCCTGCGGGGAGCAGCCGCCAGCAGCCGTGCCACCCCAGTCAGTCCGAGTCCGCCCTCTTCCCAGTCGCCACGCGCCGCGCGCCACGCGCCGCCACGCCGAGTCGGGCCTAAGGCTGTTCGCGCCTCGCGCAGTGCCAGTGATTGTACGCAGTGTGTGGTGACAGTGAAACAGTGCAGCAGTGCACCAGTGATGTGACAGTGACTGGATACGCCCCGCCCGCGCCAACCACGCCGCAGGCCAACCAGGCCAACGGAGGGCTGATCTTTGTCGACGAGCAACACAGCAGCACCAGCAACGTAAGGCTCCGCGGCTCCGCACTACTCATGTAATCAACTACACTACATTGAGCCTCCCCGCCCTGCCCCGCCCCGAACTTCCCCTCTGGATGCATATGCATGCGGCGACCACTCCACTCGACGAGCCATTCATCTCCGCGCTCTCGATACTCTTTTTCCTGGCAGCTGCTTCTCTGCGGTTGAGTTTTTTTACAGCACATAAATTGCACGGTTAATCCTGGAAATGGATAGGTATTTTTAGTCGAGCGTGCGAAGTGCGGGAACCGAGGGAACGCACGGCTTCAGCTTGGGCTTCATCAGACGGGTTCCTCCGAGCGCCACGAGCACAGCGTCGACGTCGCGCCACGTTCGGTCGCGCCAGACAAACGTTCAGGACGGAAAAACAGAACAATCACACTATTTGGCTGCTTTTTATAACCGTCTGCCGGGTTCGCCGCGCTTCGCGTCGTCACGCCACCCGGGCGGCGTGGATGGCCCGATGGCCCGCGTCGTGCACCGCCCTACGACGGCGACGGCTGACGTCAAAGCGACGCCGAAATAACGCGAAAGCGACGCCGAAACGACAAATGATGGTCCTGGACCAGAGTTTTGCGGATAGTTGCAGCAGCCCCCAGCCCGGCCGGCGACCACCGCGGCCACCCCGTCCTGCATGCCCAATGACCCGAGCACGTGCGCGTCGGCTAGACGCGGCTAGACGCGACGCCACGTCGCGGGTCAAGGACGCGCCGTGACCCGCAGTGTCACTGCCAAGGACGCCAAGGGCGCCCGCGCCGCAAAAAAACACCACGTCCGCGACGTACGCACTCGACCTGGGCGCCGCGCACGCCGCTGTTCATGTCCACGTATCCATGTTCATGCCCGCGCCCGCGCCGGGTCGTCGCCCTGGTGCAGCCTTGGCCGAGGCCTTGGCACCCGTGAGGCCGCCCTTCCCCCGGCACGGCCGCGGCGCCGCGGCCCTGGTCGTGAACCCCCTGCCAGCCCTGCCCTGCCGGCCCTGCCCCTGCGCCGCGATCCTGCCCCACACTAGAGTCCTATCCCCACACCTGCCCGCACCGCGGAGGAGCGCGAGGCAGCCCAGCCCAGCGGGCCGCACTCCCTCCCCGTCGTCCCCGTCGTCCCCGTCGTCCCCGCCCCGGTCAAGCCGGCCGGCCGGCAGGTCCGCCCCCACCACCGGCGCGCCGGGAGCCGGGTCTAGTTCCGAACGGCACTCCGGCAAGGGCCGAAGCGCCGAAGGCAGCGCATACATAATGATGCACTATTAGGGCTGGACCAGGCCGCCCCGTGCCGCCGTCCGAGCGTCCCGGCGTCCCGGCGTTCCAGCGAGCCGAGCAGGCAGTCATTACGGTTCACTGCGTCGCCCTCGCCACGCCCGTCGTCGGGGTCCGAGGCGGGGTTCAAGCTCAAGCCCAGGGCGCTGAGGACGGCGCCGAGAGGCTGTGCGTGGACCTCCGGACGGCCGATGGGCGGCCTTGTGGCTGAGGGCTGAGGCCGTGGCTGAGGCTTGGGCTGTGCAAGGCCGCCTGCAGACTGATTCCGAGAGTCGTTCTCCCGTACTGATGGCACGTCCTGTATAGGTGCGAGAGAGACAGATCGACGAAAATTACTATCGGAATCAGTCTGCAGGTCGCGCTGGATTCGGAATTTGGAATCCGGGTAGGGCCAAGGCCTGGCCCCCGTCACACCGTCACACCGCCGCGCGAGTAGCTCCAGCGCCGCGGAATGCACGCGCGCGGCTTTTTATGCAAGCTCCGAATGCAGAATGCCCTTTTCTCGCACATTCTGTTCTTCAAACTGCAGCGTAAAAAAGTGCAACTGCTTGTTTGAATTCATACACTGTACGACGTACAGCCGCGGCGGCGCGCCGCAGAAGAAACCTCGTAGGATTTTAGTGGGAGCACGAGGGGCCGCGCGGGACGCGGCGGGGCGGGGTGCGGCGGGGCCCCGCTTAGGGTCACGGTGCAGCGCGCCACCCGGCGCCACTCGGTGCCACTGGGTCAAGCACATGCAGCCCCCGCAAAAAAGGACGATGCACGCCAAGAGCAAAGCCACGCGCGCAAAACGAAAAAACGAGAGCAGCCGCGGCAGTGGCGGCTTTTGGCGCGGCGTGAGGCGGCAATCGGCAATTCGATTTTGGCGCGTCTCCAGCCCGGCAGCAGCCCAGTGGTCACCGTCGCCGTCACCGGCTGGCGGCAACGCACCGCCACGCCGGTCGCGCCGGTCCGAGTTCATCTCCTCCTTCCCTCTCCGCCCCACCCTTCCGTTTTCTTTCCTTTCGAGTGTGGTTGCGGCCCGTGCCCTGCCCTGCCGCGTCCTCGATGTCGCTATACCGCCTGATGCCGGCGGAGCGAGCGACTTCACGTTATCAAACTCGTGTTTCCCAGGCGATTAGGCGTTCTGCCTGCGGCCTGCACGAACATGCTTGCCGTCCTTCTCGCACTCGCTGCGTTGCCCGCATGGCCAGCATGGCCCGGCCGCGCCGTCGTCTGCCCGCGTCTGCCGCGGCGCTGCGGCGCTGCCAGCTGATTCTGCCTTCCCCTTCCCCTTCGCCGCCACCGCCACCGCCCCCTCCAGCTCCTCCTCCCCGGACTACCTTGTTGTCAAATACCGGCGCGGCTCGAGAAACAACATGCACCGCCGAGGCCGTCCTTTTACCTAAACAACTAGTCACAATATTATGAATTCAAACTGTTTTTAATCCATTGACCAACCGTTGATTCAAGAGTATTCGACTTTTATTATTTTGAGCTGAATTTTCATTCGTGTTCGTTTTTTGGACTATGTGTCGAGGATGTCAGCTTCATGCGATGCAGATCCTGTGAGTACTAGCCAGTCTGGGAAATCGAGCCAGGTGGCCACCGCCAGTTGTATGCAAAGCCGTGGTATGAGATCTATCCTTTGACGTTGATTGGGCCCCGACGTCGCCAACGTCGCCTACCGGCACTGCGGCTACCCGGGAGAAAACCAGATCACAGCTATTGTTATTTTTTGTTGCGAGCCATCCGTGTTACCGGTTGAGAGTGTGGCTCCGGCTCCGCCAGGCTTGGCTAGGTTAGGGCGTCACGGCCGTCACTGCCAATACACTGGTGTACAGGCAGGACAAAAACAACAACCTTTCGGTCTTTTGGACGGACCGGTCTTAGGAGCCCCTCCACGCAAAATTTTCCTCTCCATCTCAATCTCTTTTTTTTTTTTTTTTTCTCTTTTCATTGCCACTTTTCTTAAACAGTGTACTGGCACTCACTGGTGAAACAGGTGCGAAATGAGAGTAATGAAACAGTTGCATTCGGCGCCTCACTAATAAAAACTTGAACGGCTAGAAGCATCGGGAGCCGTAATCTACAACAATTATCACATACCAGTCAACAACTTGAATGTAACCAAGAGAACTCACTTGAAAACAACACAAAAAATGTTGCTTTTTATTTGAAGGGAATAAACGCGTCATAGCGCAGCACCCGAAAGCCAAAAACTCGCATCCTCTTCCCTTTTTTCTTATCGGCCTCCGCGGCGGATTGTCTGTGACGCCTTGATGCTGAATATGATTGCTGATGATTCTCTAGCCGCTTTTTTCCTGCTTTTTTGCTCATTCATCAAAGCCGCGTGTCTGGCACAGGTCCCATCAGCTATTAGCTCCGCGGCTCCGCGGCCGGTTCGCCGCCCCTCCCCGTCCCGCTCCGCTACGCCCCGCCCCGCCCCGCCACGCCCCGCCCCGCCCCGCCACGCCATCCGCGGCTCGCTCTTTCACACCAATGCGGAAACCCTTCGACAGGGTGGGCCATTCGCAAGAGCACTATGGCCATTCTGACACTCTTCCTTTGTGTTTTCCAGCATGGCGCCAAACCCCGCGCCGCGCCTCACGCGCCAGCTCACCAAGCAGTACATCAGGGTGGGCCAGTCCGCCAAGAACAGGCTGTTCGGCGTGGCGCCGCACTTCATGCAGCGAGACAACGGCTCCGGTGACAAGAAGCCCCTGCAGATGCTCGTGTCGGAGAAGGGCCGCATGTCATCAGGTGAGGCGCTCTCGACGGCGACCTGGTGGGTCATGGTGGCGACGGGGTGGGCGTTGGTCGCGGCGAGGAGGGCCTTGACGGCGACCTGGTGGGTCTAAGGGGGAGACCTGGAGGGTCTTGACGGTCTCCTGATGGGTCTCGGCGGCGACGGGGTGGGCCTTGGCGGCGGCGAGGGGCCTTGACGGCGACCTGGTGGGTGTTGACGGCGACCTGGTGGCTCTTGACGGCCACCTGGTGGGTCTTGACGGCGACCTAGTGGGCCTTGGCGGCGAGGGGGTGGGCCTTGGCCGCGGCCTTCTTCGGCGACCTCAATGCGGGGGTGGTTGCGAGCGCCGCGCGCGCACAGCGCACGGGGCCGCGTCGTCCGCGTCGTCCGCGACGTGCACGTGATCCTGCCTTTAATGACACCTCGCGGCCTCCTTGACTCCTTAATTGCGACTTTGCTGTTTTACATACGTCATAGTCGGCTCGGCGCTGCGGCGCTCGGTGGCAACAACACGGACGGCGCCGCGGACCCCCTTTCCCTTGCGGCCCAAACGAGTGCGTCATCGAGGTAGTAGTTTTGGCAGTAAACAGAACACGAACACCGGTCCTCTCCCGGCAGTGGAGGATCCAGAACCGGCTTGAGGGGGGCCAAGGAGCACTCTTTACCTTGTCACAGGGGCAAAGCAGGCAAAGTATGCCTTTCTGCGTGGCCCCTGCCCCGAGGGGTCGTCAACTTGCATATCACTTCGTACACAGGCTGTATAATATTACTCTTATATTACCGCTGAAAGTCCATAAATACTACCAAATGGACTACTTGGATCATCGGTAGCATGAAAAATCGGCCTAAAAACGATAATATGGGATGTATATTACCATATATTATTGTATTACTTCGTACACGCGCGATGTGAGTTGACGACCCCTCGCCCTGCCGTCGCTGCCGGCCTGCTGCGCCGAATGAAAGGCAACGACCCTCGCGGTTCAACGACATTATGTCTTTGTATAATTCCAAAGACTCGGAGACAAGGCAGATTTCTTTTCGGCACTCGATCGCAAGAGCGCCGTCCATTCCTCTCTCGACCTCCCAGCTTACACACCGCTGTGCCGACTGCCGAAAAGGAATGTTCCACATCGCTTTAATGTCGCAGTCCTTCCCTTCCCTCACCCCGCCGGCAATCCCCGCCCGGGGCGTCCGGGTGGTTCCGGCGCGTTGACTCCCCCGGTGTCCCTGGTGTCCCTGGAGTCCCCCTGGAGTCCCTGGAGTCCCTGCGGCAGTGGCGCGGCCGGCCGATATGAGCCAACTACTAGGCATGTACAGGCAGCTCAGGAAAGTTCCCAAGTCGCGGCGCGTCCTGTGAGCGCTTCCTAAGCCAGCTCCAAAACATGTTGCAATACTCGGTGGGGCCATTTGCCCCCTCCCCCTTTCCTAGACGAGCGAGACACGGCCGCAAATCGCCCTGCACGCTGATGACCGGCCGGCCGGCCGTCCTCCTGATGGGCTACGTGGACGTCACTGCTTCGTGAGTCGTCACTGAGTCGTCGCGGCTACGCGGCCCATGCGAGAGACGAGAACTCGTCCACAACAAGTCGACGCGTGTTTTTCTGCGACCCGGCCCGACCATCGCCATCGCGTCGCGGAAAAGATTCACGCGGTGTGGGATCTGTGGCGGGTTTCTGGAGCCGGGAGCCCGGAGCCCGGAGCCGGCAGGCTGGAGGCTGGAGGGGCCCGGAGCAGCCCGGAACGCGGGAGAGAACCACTGCCGGCGACTGCTGGGCAGCCTGGGCATCCTGGGCAGCCTGGGCAACGGGCAGGACGGCGGGATGAGGCTGTTGCTGCGCCCCCCGGCGTGCGTCAGAGTGCCGGAGTGACGTCACGAGGTCCGCTCCGTTCGCACTCCACTCCCCGGCACGGTCCTTCCGACCCTCTGCCCGACAACTCGCCTCCCCGTCGAAGAATGTACCCTGTTTTTGTATCACTTTCTTGCCCTCTGTGTTGTTTTGACGTGCCAAGCGCGGGCGACCCCATTTACAGACGCCCCGCCCGGTTCCGCCCCGCCCCCCCCACCCCACCCCACCCCCCCGCGCCGCGCTCAAGTCACTACCCCCGTGGGAAAGGCGGGCCGAAGTCGACGCGGTCGCTGACCGATTGCAGACACACTCCGAGGCAATTTAGCGGTCACTAATTCGGAGCGCACGCCACGAGCATGCCACCGAGCCTGCGGACAGAGAGGAAATAAGACGACCCCGGTGACATTTCGGGACGGCGAGGTGTCCGACGCGGAACCGAAAGCGCCGTCCCGTCCCGTTTGGCTGTTTGTTTGAGGCTCGCGTCGCGGAGACGGCGGCACGGTGCGCGCCAGCACCCGGTGGGAGCGCCCGGCGAGTAGGCAGCCCGCCGAACAGGCAAGGCAGCCCGCCGAACAGGCAAGGCAGCCCGCCGAACAGGCAAGGCAGCCCGCTTTTGGGAAACGAAACGAAAACTTGACCTCTACACTACGTCGACTTGGCGGGACAGTAAAGCCCGCCGGCCCATGGTGCTAAGCAAACGCGGCGAGGGAATTCCCAGGTCCGTGTCCAGCGTAGTGACTCTGTGACTCCGCGGTGACACACAGCCCGCCACGCCCCGCCGCGACCGCGGCCAAAGGGCACGGCGACGGCCCGGCCGCGGCGGCCGCGACATGTCAATAATTGTTACTGAGAGGCACTTTGTCGGTGCTTCGCGGTGCTTCGCGGTGCTTCGCCGTGTTTCGCCGTGTTTCGCGGCGCTCGGTGGACGCCGTTACCGCCTGCAGCTGCACTGGAGGAGAGCCTCGGGCAGGTGGCCCCGGCTGCCCCGGCACGGGCACGCGGCAGAAGGACGCGGTCCTGCCTTTGTCTCCGCCCATGGCAAGGCAAGGCCCATGGCCGTGCCGACGAGGATTTGAAACTAAACCCGCGCCCTTTCTGTTGCAGTGAAACTGGGAGTGATCCTGGTTGGAGCGTTTTTAGTGGCGATAGGAATTTTACTCTCGTCGGTCCCCTGGGTCGATTTCATCATCCTGAAGGTGAGGAGGGAGCCGAGATGGTCGGCCAGCAGTATGAGACATTCGACCGCCAACAAGCGGAAGACGCGCAAAGTGAACCCACTGACGCCCCTGTCTGATTGCAGAACTTGAAGATATGGAACGGCACCTTGGCGTACTCCTACTGGCAGAAGCCCGGCGTCATTCGGCTCACCAAGGTCTACGTGTTTAACATGACGAACCAGGACGGCTTCCTGAACAACGGCGAGAAGCCTCTCCTGCAGGAGATCGGCCCGTTTGTCTACAGGTGGGCCTCTTTTTCTGGCGCTTGCGCGCGCTACACTGCTAATACGAGGCTCATATCGCACTGGATGGTGCCAAGCCAATTAGAGGCGTCAATGATGATGCATTCGGCGTGCTTGCCGGCGCCCGGGCGGGTTTTCCTTCCTGTAATCCGCTCTCATCGGCAGCCGCCAAGCCGCCAAGCCCGCGGGACTGGCGGGACTCAGGCGAGCCAGTCGCGGCACTTCGCGCGCCGCCAAACACTGGTTCGCCTTGAGTTTAACCCGTCCGAGCAGCGGGCACTGTCGCCTGCATATCTTTAAACTTCACAAATGCACGTCGGCATTTGGCGTGTGCATTTGGAGAGTGGAAAGGCGCTATTACGACGATTGGTCCGACCGGCACTAATGGATTGCGGTGGATGCGATGGTCGCTTTGCAGAGAGGACATGGAGAAGGTGAACATTGCGTTCCACGACAACGGCACCGTCAGCTTCCAGCATCGCAAGATCCTGCGCTTCGTCCCGGAGATGTCGGTGGACCGAAAAACCAAGATCGTGCTGCCGAACATTCCCTTACTGGTGAGTTGCAAGTCCGCGCGCGCCGTCCTGACGCCATGCCGCCAGGCCGTCGTCAGGCCGTCGGGCAAAGCGACCTCACAAATCACGTCTCCTCTCCGGCGGCGCGGCGGCGCGTGCCTTGCGGCTTGCATGGGCCTGCCGCGTGACGGTGGGCGCCATCGCCATGGAGCCACGCCGCCGTTGTGTCCCCAGGCCGGCCACCGGCCAGTGTCCCCTTCGCTCACGGTTTTTGGTTTTGCTGACGGTTTTTGGTTTCGCTCCGCAGACGCTGTCCACGCACGTGTCCAGCTCGTTCCCGCTGGTGCAGTTCGTGGTGAGCACGGGCGCGCGCACGATGGGCCTCAAGCCCTTCGTGCAGCTGACGGCGGACCAGCTCCTCTTCGGCTACGACGACACGCTGGTGCGCCTAGCGCACAGCGTGTTCCCCAAGCACCTCCGTCCGCAGGCGCAGATGGGCCTGCTCTTGGGGGTGAGTTGCAAAACCAACCCTCGAACCCTTGCACAGTGGGCCAGAAGACCGGCGGAGGTGCCAAAACTCGAAACGCGTTTTGAGCTCCATAGTCGCTAAACTGGTCTTCTGGCCCACCGTGCCTCACCGCCCCGTCTCCCTCACACCCCTTCGGAGCGCCCCTTTAGCTTGCCAGGAAGATCGACTTATCGGCGGCCGTCCTTCCCTCTCGACGTTAACGTGATCGATTATCCCCGCTTGCCATTCGACCATTCGACCGCGCGGATCGCGAAGTCACGCGACGCGGCGACGCGGCCGAGGGTCCAAAGCTCGAAATTTGAATAAAAGCGGGCCAATGAGTGCGGGGCGCGCCTTTGCGCCATTACCCAGACAATCGGCTGCAGGCTCATTCCGAAACGGCGCTCTGTCTCTCTCGCTCCCATGCAGGGCGCCCCAATGAGGTAGATGAGTTCGAGAGAGACGAAGCGACAAACCTCTGTTTCGGATTCACAGCGAGAGCTTATCGCGTCGCGTTGAATGGAGGTACTAGTACTTCGGGCCGACCGCGGCATCGAAACGCAGAGCGGCGCTGGGCCGCGCTGCTGGGGTGCTTCACGTCCGACAGGGAACTGAGTTGGAACGGACAACATCGCACGGGAGCCGCGGTGTCCAGTGACTCGATCGCTGATGATAACTAAAGCAGTCATATCCGGTTGAACCTCGGGTCGATTTATCCGGAATAACCAATTCTCTGCTTGGCGGCGACGTCGTAATGCTGTCGACTGCAGTGGGGCACACTGATAAGAGGCCTCCTGGTCCGCCAAGCTTACCGAACCGCGCCGCGGGCCACACACGTTCGCGTGAATCTCACGCCACATCCTCTGCCGCGTCGTGCAGGAGTGTGGCCAGCGGGCAGACTCCGAGCAGTGCTCCGCAGCTCGGCCTCTCTCAGCCACTCGGTGCGGCCCGTGAGCGCGAGAGAGACGGAGCGACGAAAGCGGTGTTTGGAGCCAGCCCGCCGCGGCACCTCGCGGTCGACGGCTGCGGTCGCCTCGCCGCTGCCGTTTAGCGGTGGAGGAGCTAACCGCTGATTTCCAACCGCGTCTTTAATCAACAAGACGACCACCGCGCCAAAAAAAAATCCGCGAATTTGCCGCAAGTTTCCTCGTCCCTGCTGTCGCGATTCCCAAAAGGATCGGATCGGCTTGAATGACGTTTGGACGGCTGCTATACGCTGCCAAAGGAGTAAGGCCGGGGGGGCCTTTGTGTAAACGAACCCAGCAGAACCGGTCGAACGTGTATGACGAATCCTGCCCGTATGTACTGTGGGCGAGTAAATTTCATTCTTAGAACACTGGCGAAAAGTCAAGCCTGTGTTTTGGCGGCGTTTGCTAAGCGGTGGTTTTCCATTCACAGTTCACACACGGTCGTGCGGGGGAGCGTGGCCGCAGCAGTCGGGACGGGGTGGTCGCGAGCATCGCGAGTCGCACTGAAAAGCATGTTATGCCGGCAAAGGAATGTTTTGCTGACTAACTAGGCTGCGCGTTGGGCCTTCGCGAAGGCCAAACGCGAAGGGGACTGACTTGGCCATGCGGAAGGCGCGTGGACGGTGCGGTGCCGACCGACGAAAGCTCCTTGAGCGTCAATTAACAGGTCCCCGTGTTTATCCAGGCTCCCTGTTCTGTCTGATGTGTTTTCCTCCGTCAATTTCTTCTTGCCTCGGATAGGATAAGCAGCTAAAGCGCGTGGCGTCTGAAAAAAGGAAGAGAAAACGAGTGTCGGGCGCGGTGACGTGCTGAGCGTGCCGCGAGTGTGCCGCGTGGCGCCGTTGCTGACGTCAAGGGGTTGTGTCGCGAACCGTTGAATTATCCCGGCCCCAAAGTCCAGGGCTGCCAATGCCGAGAGTTTCCTGCAGCGGGGCCTTCGGTGTTCGGCATTCCTCGCTTTCTAACGGCGCCGTTTTGTGGTTTGCGCAGCGAAACGGCACGCTGGACGAGGTGTCCACCATCTACACGGGGCACGCCGGCATGGAGGAGTTCGGCTACATCGACACCCTGAACGGGCGCAAGGAGCTGCCCTACTGGCAGAGCAGCCCCTGCAACTCCATCAAGGGCTCGGAGGGCTCAGTGTGGCCACCGCGCGCCGCCACGCAGTCCGACCACCTGTCCGTGTACGACAAGGACCTGTGCCGGGTGCTGCCGCTGACGCGACGCTCCTCCGCCACCGATGATGCCTCCGGCATCTTCGCGGACCTCTACACCCCGTCCGATGACGCCTTCACGCCGACGGCCCCCGAGAACTTGTGCTTCTGCGAGGACCCCGGCAACCCCGAGTCGTGCCCGCCCAAGGGCCTGCAGAACATCGCCCCCTGCCAGTACGGTGAGTTGGGCTGGGCTAACAAGTTGGCCCGGCGCGGCGCGGCGCGGCACCGCGTTTGTTGTTCGTTGGCCGGACGGACGGGGAATTTCAACAAGCTGTGCCGTGTTTGCAGAGGCCCCGGTCTACTTGTCGTACCCGCACTTCCTCGACGCCGACCCGACCCTGGTGGAGGCCGTGAACGGCCTGAACCCGGACCCCGAGGTGCACGGCACCTTCTTCAAGATCCAGCCCAAGCTGGGCGTCACCATCTCCGCCAAGGTATGAGTCACTGCCGGTTGGGTTGCCTATCCCCTCGGCGCTGCCGCGCTGCCCGTCTTCGCTCCGTTGCTGACCCTCTGCCTCTCCGTGTCCGCTTCGCAGGTGCGCGTGCAGGCCAACCTGTGGGTGCGCAACGCGGCGCACGTGGGCGCCGTCTCCAAGTTCCCCACCATCGTGTTCCCGCTCATGTGGCTGGAGGAGGGCGTGGAGGAGCTGACGCCCGCCATCCAGCGCTGGGTGTACCTGGCCACGACGGTGGCAGAGACGGCCGTGCCCGTGTGCACGTACGGCGCCATCGTGGTGGGGCTGGCGATGCTGGCGGGCGTGTTCGTGCAGTCGTACCGCAAGGTGGTGTTCACGAGGGAGAACCTGGAGAAGGGCAAGGAGAAGCTCAGGAGGGGCTCGTCCTTCCTCGTCAACGGCCAGCACCGGCTACTCATCCTCAGGGATTCGTACTCGCTGCTCAACGCGACGCCGGAGGACGCCACAGATATGGACCCGGACCCGGGGAGGGATAGTCCCTGAGTCTGCGTCTGCGAGGGCCTTCCCTCTCGCTCCCTGGGGTCCGTCCTGCAGGGCCATTCTAGTCCACAATCAACTTAATTTATTGGAAGCTGTGATCTGCTGCGCCGGGCCCGGCCGCCCGGCCTCTGGGGCCACACATTGTGCACGGCTTACGGCTCGCGCGTTGCTCCTGATTTTTGCGCTGTGTTAGGAGGTCCTCTGTTAGGTCCATACGTTAGTTTGTAAGCGGACAGGGTCATGGGGAGGAAGCGGTTCCTGCCATCCTCTGCGGGGTTTCGACTGCCGGTTTGAGTCTCCTGGAGGCGGAAGGTCTACCGATCCCCCCTTTTTTGTTTAATCAATTTGCTCTCTTTACGAGGTAAAAAACGCTATTTGCTCACACTTGGGCTGGTTTGCTCTCGCAAATCAGCCTCCTACGTTGCTCACGATTTTTAGAATTTTAACAAATATCTTAATTCTAAGGATAGCTTTTTGTGTGTTAACAAATTTCTCTAACTCTCTGTTATCTATTTTCTGTTGTAAGGATTAGTGTATTCATTCATCCAAATATGACTGTGATCATTAATTAAAATTTTGTTTATAATGCTCAATGCTTTTCTGTTATCTTAGGAAAATTAATAATGTGAAGAATACATTTAAATGTATTAAGCCAATCATACAGACCATTACTATTTATATTGCATGTGCTGTGCCAATCTTTGAGCAAAACATTTTTGAGGCACCTAGTGGAACCTCCCTCAATTTCATTTTACTTGTTTCCCTACCAATGTCAAACTCAATTTACCATAATGTTCCTTCTGTCATGAGAACATCATAAAAATATAAAATGAATTTGCAGCGAGATTTGATATATCAACTCAGTTTTGTGTAATTTTACTCTTACAAATAGCGTAATTTTAACTATTTATGGAGTTGTGAGCGTGTAAGTCCCTTGTCAAAGCCCAGTAGGAGATGAAAGTATTTCATAGACTGAACTTTACTATTGGTGCTGAGTTTTAATAGAAAATAATGTACAAAGATATTTTAATGAGTTTATGTTTGTTCATAGATAGACCTTGTTGTTTTTCAAAATTATAGTGCCAGATTTTTACTCCAAATGGAACATACTATGACAACTTTGTCTCTAAATTTGCACTATAATGTGAAGCTCAAGTTGCTGTGATGGATGCTACATATTTTGTGTGTGTATTGTGTATGTAAATAAATAGAACACAGTAGTTTTCATTCATATTGCTATTATTTAATGTCATCATATTTTAAACAAGTTAACAATCTCTATAAAAGAAAGTTTCTTAATGCAAAACTAAATTGAACACAGTAATAATAAAAGTGGATCTCAGAAACATTTGACAGTTATAACATGAAATAACATAATGTTTACATCATCTTTATACATAAACAAAACAATTATGATTACCCACTTAAAGGATAGAAACTTTACTCAAAAATATACTGCAACATAGTGGAAATGAAAATTATTGCTTAAATTAAACACAACTGTCAACAAGGTATCACAAGTCTATGTCATTTGTTCATAGTACAACTAAATTGCCAACATCTACGTTCTAGGAGCAGAAGATGAAGCTTCAGTCTCATGGAGTTTCCTATGCTTTTTAAAAGTATTGCGATGAGTAAATCTTTCTCTACAGAAGGGACACTGATAAGGCTTCTCGCCTGTGTGAATACGAGTGTGAGATTTAAGGTGGGCACTTTGAGTAAATCGTTCTCCACACTCTGAGCAAACAAAGGGCTTCTCACCAGTGTGAGTGTAGGAATGACGCTTGAGACTGCTCTTGTCTGCAAAGCTTTCCGAACAATCCGTGCAAGCAAACGGTTTCTCCCCAGTATGCCTGAGGATATGCCTTTTCAAGTTATTCATCCTTCCAAATTGCTCCCCGCACTCTGGACAAGAAAACAGTCTATCATCAGCAGAGGGCAGACAGTGACTTTTGGCATGACTTAACAGAGAGAATGTTTCGCCACACGTTTCACATTTGTGTGGTTTCATGGGGGCATGCATTCTTGAATGTCTTCTCAAATTACTCCTTTCAGTAAATTTTTCTTCACACTGAGTACAACCAAAAGGCTTCTCACCAGAATGGGTGCGGTTGTGGGAGATAAGATGAGTCTTCTGGCTGAATCTCTCTCCACACTCTGGACAAACATAAGGACGGACACCGGAATGTGTGAGGGCGTGGCGCCTCAAAACGCCGCTGTCACTAAACTGTTTACTGCAAGTATGACAATGGTACGGCCTCTCCCCAGTGTGTATTCTACTGTGCTGCTTCAGGTTACTTAATCGAGAGAAAGTCTCACCACACTCTGTGCAAATAAAAGGCCTTTCCCCAGTATGAGTCATCATATGTCTCTTTAGATCAACATTGTCCAAGAACGACTTATCACATTCACTACAAGGGAATGGTTTCCGATCCAGGTGAGTAAGTGCATGACGAGAAAGGTGACTCCTGCGTGCAAAGCGCTCCCCACAATGATCACATGTGTGGGGCTTTTGAACCAAATGAGATCTACTATGGACTTTGAGGTCATCCTCTTCCAAAAACTTTTGCTCACAGACAGGACAAGAAAATAACTCATGGGTCAAATCCGTATGACTAACTAAATGGTTGTTCATGTCACTTTCTATCACATACTCTTGGCAGTGCATACATCTGACATACTTCGGCTCAACTTTGTGAGCTTGCTCATGTTCTTCTAATTGAGACCGTAATGCAAACTGCTCATGACAAAACTGACATTCAATTATTTCAGAGTGAGTTTTAAGATGTATTCTTAAGTTATGCTTACGTGCAAAATGATCTCCACATTTAATGCAAGCAAAGGGTTTCTCTCCTGAATGCACTCTAGCATGTCGTTTCAAATCAATTTTGTCAACAAATGATTTCTCACAGAGTTCACAGACGAAAGGGCGCTCCCCAGTATGCTTACGCTGATGACGTTGAAGGTTGCTGCTCCTTGTAAAACTTTCTCCACAGAAGCTGCAATGATATGGCCTTTCTCCTGTGTGAGTCATAAGGTGACGTTTTAGGTCAAAGTTATCCACAAAGCCATCACCACATTCTGGGCACTTGTGAGGCTTGTCACCTGTATGAATGATACTGTGCCGCCTGAGGTTACTGCTGCGAGCAAACTGATCACCACAAACTTGGCATCTGTAAGGCTTCTCACCAGAATGAGTCATCAAATGCCTTTTAAGATCAACATTGTCCATGAATTCCTTGCTACAATGAGGACAGGGATATGGTTTGTGTCCTGTGTGAGTCATTGCATGCCGTTTCAAATGACCCAATCGTCCAAATCTCTCTCCACACTGAGGGCAGGGATGAGGCCTATGAAGAGCTCGGTGCCTCTCAAGATCATCACCATCTTTGAAAATCTTCCAGCAAGTTGTGCACACAAATGGCTTATCTTTGTTGTGAGTGAAAGCATGTTTACGAAGTTGAACATTATTGGGAAAATGCTCCCCACACTCTCCACAAGCAAGAAGCTTTGTTGACACTGAATCAGTCGAGCGAGGAGGTAATTCACCATGGCGATAAGGCGCTGACTTTCCACTGCTGGAGGACATGCTGGTTTCTATGTAGTTAATACTGTTGCCACTTGCAACTGCAGCCTCAGCTATGGTGGCTTCCATGCCATTGACACCTTCTTGGTGCAATGTCAGAGGCACAAGAGATGGCATAGGCACTGGTAGGGGGAGTTGCATCGAAGGAAGTCCCAATGACAGAGGCACCATTATCGTCATAGATTGGGCACTACTTGTAGGCGTGCTTACTGCAGTCACTTGTACAGGCTGAAGCGTCTGCGTCATATTCGCTGAAGTTGTGACAGTAAGTGCTTGCCCCAACGTCTGAGACATGCTAGAAGGAGCACTTGTTACAACAATGGACTGACCATGCTCCTGAGTGGGAATCGTCATATGAATAGGAACAAGAGTATTTGTTGGATGTGGAGATGCCTCCTTATGTGGGTCATGTTGTGGTATAGTAGATACCACGACTTGATGCCGATGCTGCGGCTGATGCTGAACTTGAACTTGCACCACTGCTTGTTGGCCTTGGGCCTGGGCTTGAGCTTGGGCTTGAGCTTGAGCTTGTGCCTGGGCTTGAGCTTGAGCCTGGGCTTGGGCCTGTGCCTGCATGTGAGCCTGGACCTGAGCCTGAACCTGAGCTTGAACTTGTGCTTGCACTTCTTGAACTTGTTGGGCCTGAGCTTGGGCCTGAGCCTGGGCTTGCGCATGAGCTTGTGCCTGGGCCTGCGCATGTGCTTGCGCCTGAGCTTGAGCCTGAGCTTGAGCCTGAGCTTGAGCCTGAGCCTGAGCTTGGACATGGGCTTGAGCCTGAGCTTGAACTTGGGCCTGTACTGACTGCGAGAGTGTATCCATGAAATGAAACTGCGACAGGTGGTGTTCTCCGATGTGCAGCTGGGGTTGCAATAGAACATGATGAGCCTGAGTCTGCGCTTCTGTTTGATGTTTGACCTGGGTGATGCTGCCGGGGCTGTACACCTGTGGAGCCTGTTGATGAAGAGACTGTTGCATGGCCGGTGCAGGTGCATGATGGGAATTTTGCAGGGAATGTTGTTTTCTTTGACATCGCTTTTTATGTTTTTCTAGATATGCTGGTGAAGTGCTGACTGTGGGACACCATGGACATGGATAACCCTCTGCAAAAAAAGGAAGATTCAAATTAAAAACCATACAAAAATATTTTTAAAAATAATGTTGATTATTAATTTACTGCAAGATACATCAAATATTACTTACGGGGATTCCCTTCTGGTCTTCTGTTGATCTCTGGAGCAAGACTTTGAGTCATTAAGGGATTTACATTTGAGAGAACTGTTACTGTAGGTGCATCAGCTGTGGTCGCCATCATTGCTGAACTTTGTTGGTCTGACTTGATTCCCCGGCAATATTTTTTATGTTTGTCAAGATATGCCTGGCTAGTGAATGCAACCACACATGTTGGGCATGGAAACATATCACTTGTTGTACCTGCAACAAAAGAAGTCCAACAAATTACGAAAAAATATACTAGAAGATAAAATAGAAGTCAAAACATTATATGTGATGTGAGTGGCATTTAAATATGATCTGTATTGACAGTGACATAAGCAGTAAACACTAATACAAAATGCATCACCTATCACAACTACTCAAAAATGATTTTAAAAAACACAAATCAATAAATTATAACTTTACATTCAAATTACCGTAAAATAATTGTAAAATTTTCCACTAACACAAAAGCAAAATTTTCTGAACTAGCAGCTTTAACTTGACAGGCAGCAAGTCAGCCCCACTTGCCTGTTAAGAGGATAAGGTACCTGATCCATTTACCAAGGTTTCATCCAAAATTAAGACCAAGTTAAATACTGAATGCCAAATGGAAGAAGTAATGATTACAAGGAAAGAGCAAAATGTTGCATGAGAAAAAAAACAACAACTCAGGAGTATGAAAAGTGGTTTCACAGACTGAAAACTGTAGCAGCAAAGTAGTTAAAATAAGAAATATGCAATGGCATTAAGGACTCCAGCAATATGCAATACTGCTTTGAATTTTTCATCAAGTTACAAGTGTAATTGGTTTGGTATAATCATAATGGCCTAAGGTTGTCTGAACCAATCCGACCATTAAGGTAAACTGTCTTTAAAAAATGTGGGGGGAAAAAATCTTTGAAAGAAGTTCACCTGGACTGCTCTTCACATTGACGTCCTCTAGATCTTTGATTTCTTGTTCTAACCAGGCCATATCTAGCATCATAGTAAGTTTCTTGGGTCTGTGAAATCAACAACAAAAATATTTAAAATGCAAGGCATAGAACTAGCATGCACAATCACTCACGGACAAAAAAAGAAGACATCTACAGAAACTAGTAGTCAAGTCTACATCAAACAAGTACCTGCATGAGCCGGGGGATGATGATTCTGTGGGCTGGGCTTCAACTCTTGTTGTCTTTCCAAATGGCTATTTTTGGAGAAAAATGATCTTTAATGCCTTTTACAAAAATAAAGTATTAGTTCAAGAAATCACACTAGCTTACCTCCCAAGGAACGTTGTCGGATACAAGCACTGGGTGGTTGACTGGGCTTGGATTTGCCATGTTTCGTTAGTCTGTAAAATAAAATAAAATAGATTGAACACAAACGGAGAAATGTGCCTCACAGAAAGATGTTGTTGATCTATCACACGTAAATCTCATGAGCCTTGGTTCCTGAAAAATGAACTGTTGGCATGGACCCACATAAGTATTACATAAAATGAAACACAAAGCAGCCATGGGATAAGTCAAATATTGGTGAAGACAACAACTCATGACACAAGCTTGATTTGAACAATAATAAACAACATAATAATGAAAAGTGTTCGCAGACATAAAGGAAGTGATATAAATACAAAAATACGAAAAAACAGAACCTAGAGGATAATCTTCACCTGTGTCACAAACTCGACACTACAAGAAGTGGAAAACTTCTTGAAAACGCGTTTAATTGAGAAAATAAATATTACAGGGAGTAGGTGTAGGTTAAGTTGAAGTCATACAAGCCGTCAAAGCACAGGTCAAACGCAGAGTCTCTAAACAAAATATAGAAAGCTTACCATTACAGATGGGACAACTTGTCAAAATTTACAGTTTTCTTTCAGAAAACACGGTAAATGTCGAGAAAAACAGACACTGAAACTCACAAAACAACAAATCCTAAGGATTCGCAGCTTTGAGTGCTTTGAGAAGAGAAGCCATTATCACTGCTTTCTACAAAAGCTACGAAGCGTATCTCCTACCACCCCCCTCAAAGGCGGTGCACCAAACGCGGTATTTTGTGGATTTTCAACTTAGAGCGTTGATGTGAAGCAGTAATTTACTCCTGTAACCAATTGTCATCAATCAAAATATTGCTTCTTGTCAAAATAAGCACTTGGTACTCATTTCTGAGGGTAAAATTTTGATTCTGAGTAGATTCTTTTTAGGTGAATAGTGATTTACTGTTTCGTTAGGTTATGTTTGCTGTGTATCACATCAAAACAAACAAACTAGTCCACTCCACAGTAGCTTTAATAGTCGATGCCAAGGCTACATGGATTACCAGATCCGTGCGGAGTCGGGCCGACAACTTCTGGCCAGGCTTTCTTCCAGGCCAAGTCTAAAAGGACTGGACGAGCGATTACTGGGCCCAGATGGGCCAGCACCTCAGGATGTGATTGAGATTGTCGGGGAGAACTCTGTGGGGAAGTCAGTCCTAGCCCTGCAGTGGGTAGCTCGTGCTATCCTCTCGCCTCCCAGAGGGGGCCTTGGTAAGATTGCTGTGACAAGCACCATGCTAGAGCCTCACAAGTGTCTCACTGTTTTCTCTTTGCGCAGGTGTGGAGATTCTACTTATTGATGCAGATCACCATCAACCTCTGTTTATGCTCATTCAGTACTTGCAAGCTCGTATGAAATCATTTGTTGCCCAGACTCCAGGGCTCAAACTGAACTCGAGTCTCATTGAGACTTCAATTAAGGATGCTCTGAAACGACTTACCATCATTAATGTTTACGACAGCACCAGTCTCTACACTGCTCTCTTAGCTCTTGACACAGTATGTAAATCCCTTGGTATGGTTTTGGTTTGCTCACTCCTCGTGAATTTTTTAACATCTTATTTTGGTCACAGATATTAGTGTCAAAGCCCCAAATCAGTATGGTGGTTGTGGACAGCCTGCCAGCATTTTATTGGGCCGACCGTTTATCTGGAGGACTGCAACATATGGATTCCTATCTTAGGCAAATGTTGTCTGCTCTTCAAAAAAGCACCAGAGCACACAAAGTTACAGTTGCCTTCACGAGACCAAGTTATTTCCAATCAGCAGCACCATCCCGCTTTCGGTCAAAGGATGATAGTGGTGCAAGCACAGTGTTTATCAATTTAAATCGTTTTGAAGACGAAGCCAGTGAAAATAATACTTCTGGGAAGCAACCAGTTCAAGGCATGAAACTGACCAATTTGTATTGTGCAACAGTGAGGACCCCTCAAGGTTTAAGAGTTCATCGGTACCATTTTACCAAGGATGGCATAGTTTGGCTGTGATAAGGATGTACATGTATGTAATCTACAATTAACTGTGATGCCATGTATTTTAAGGAAATGATGTGAAAGGGTAATCATTAAACATAGTTTGGTTAAAATCATGTTTATTTTATTTATTTTATTTCTAATACAGCTGTTGCTTAAAAAAAGAAAGTTTATAGTAACAATTTTCACCTTGCTAATACAAAGTCTTTCCAAAAATGCTAAAAGAAAAATGCCATTGACCAGCTAAAAATACTTGTTATCAAGACAGCTAAAGCCCTCTGGTTACTGACTTGGTCATAGATTTCAGCAAGGTAGATGTAATGCAAATAAGAGAGTCAGAAGTCACTATCAATACAGAGAAGAAATCAAATAGTGACAGACATGCAAAGAACTCAACCAACTTAAAAGCAGTAATTTTTGGTGTTTAACTTGTGTACATGCAGCATTGACATCTACACAACACCAACACAATATCTGCCTTGAGCATCTCTGTATCTTTTCCAAAATAAGATATATTTATATTTAGGTAATATTACTTTTAAAACTGATGTTTCAATAAATATGGGGAGACTTTATCACAATCCCTATCAGAGAATATCTATTTTAATAAGTAATACTGAGAAATTAGAAAGAGAAGTCTTTTGTTACAGCGCAGAAAACAGCAGTTTACTGGTGGGCAGAAGAAGAGACATTCTAACCATCAGACAGCATTAAACTAAAAGCACATCCAAATCATGTGACTTCACCACTTCACACACACTGTACAAACATACACACGTACAAAACCATTGCCATTAAGGCACATGATTGTATCTGAGGCATAATAAATTGATGATATGAATTCATGGATTTTTGAGCTGCTACAAAATTTTCAATTCATTTGTTATTGAATTATACATAGTACTGTAAATGGGTAACATCTGAAAACCTAGTGTTTGATTAAACAAAAGCTGGAAACTTATTACTGATTGAAAAGAAAACAATTATAAAATGTTGGAGGAAAACAATTGCTTCTTCCTGTAAACACTATGAAAACATTCTTACACTTCACACAGCATCGTATAGTAACGTTCCTTGATTGTCACAGCACCATCTTGTTATCAGACCAAACACACGGAACGAAGGAAGTCTTGTGCACAAAATGAGCAGAGGACACAAGCTGCCAGCGAGTGCACAGTCTAACCCAAACTCTCAACCACAGTAGTGGTCAGTCCGCTCTTGCTAACTGTTGTCTTATATTGTTCAGGAATGGCATGTTCAGTCTGAAACAGGAAATGCAGATTAGCAAAGAATTTTCATCCAGGCATAGGCTGTAAATGTATCCAGATAAATATGAAGTGAGAAAAACTTACATAGTCACCGTTAGCAGTAGGGATAAGGACATTCATCTCTGAAGATTTGGAACTGACAATTGACACATTCAGTGATTGGTCATTCAAATACATCTGGCAGCCATCAGTTTTGTCAATAGTAATTGTAGGTACCACACCAGTGACCTGCAGAAGAAGAACATATGTTATTGCAAAAGTAAACAACTTTCTCAAACAAATACAAACAAACTAACAGACACTAAATAACACACACTCAAAACTGAACCTTACCTGCATTTGAACAGATTGACAGTTGACAAATTCAACAGACGACACAAGGGAGTCAAACACCACTGCAGACTTTTTGCAAGAATCCATCACAATAGAATTAATTTTGCCTTTCACAATCAAGGTAGAATCAACACACTTGAACATGTACACAACATTGTTCATCTCTGCGCCCTCAACAACAAGATTCTTGTTGCCTTTTTGGTATTCCTGATAAAGAATAAAAAGGATATAAATTAGCAACCCAAAGAACACAAAACACTCATGAAGCAGTCAGAAGAAGTCAAAATGATTTGAGAACTTTTAAGTTATGTTCTTGACGAAATCTTTTTAAATAAGGCAACAGACTTACAATAAGCCACTTCTTTCCATCCCTTGTGAATGAGGGTGGTTTGTCAGCAGCAGGGGCAACTGCTCCACCTCCAGTGCCCTTGGGTCCCTCAGCAGTCTTGAATGGAGCAGGCCCAGTGCGCAGATTTGGGTTCTTGTGGGTCTGCATGTCTGAGGTGACTTTCTTCAAATCTAAAGACAGAAAAGAATTACCTATTATAGGTGGTCTACAAATGAAAGGCTGAGGAATGCATCGTATGCCATCATTTTCATCCCCCTAAACAAGCACTACATCTACAACCAACATGCAAGTAGCGTACGAGGGGGGCAACAAAGTAACAGTGTGCAATTAGGTGCAGCCTACGACTACTTACTGCGAGTGATATTCTGTCCCTGGTTAATTTCAGCAAACAGTGCTGACCTGTCCTTAGAGGGGTCAAGTGCCAGGTTTGAGAGGTCTCCCTCGGGAAGGACCGGGGGCGGTGGGGGCATAGCGGCCGGAGGAGGGGGAGGGGCACCACCTGCTCGCATGGGCTGCCACTCCAGCCCAGTGGTGTGGTGTTTCTTCACGAAGTCCTGGAGTTCCACCAGAGTCTGAATCCAGGCATTGACCCAGTCTACGTGGCGACGGTCCCTGTGGGTCAACACAAAACCATTTTAAAACTCATTGGAACACTAGGGTATGTCAACTGAGACTCGACAGATGGAGGGCCCTCCTCACCTGTCCTTGAAGTCCTTGAGGACACGGTTGCCATAAAACATGCCGGCATCCTTCATCTCCTTGACAAATGGAGATGGGGTAGGGCTCTACATGAAATAAGAAACAAAAGTACAACATTACCCTTGATGTAATGGAATGTAATTGAATCAATAAGGTCGTTTTCTGAAAAAGCACTTGAACTTACCACAGTGACCCACCCAAGGGCAGAAATACTTTCACTGATGGTGCTAAGGTGGTTGAATTGAGGTGATGGTCGCTTCTTCTCCCTATGTTCCTGAATTGTCATTATAAGTTTTGAAGTGGGTTGCAACAGAGTTACAATCTCATTCTGATTGGTGGGCTTGGGCCGGCTGCCAGCAACTCCCAAAAACTGAAGCTGGGCCCTGAAAACATCAGAGTTAATTAACATTGATTCGGAACACTGCATTAATCACATTCTACGAGTTCAAGGTAAAAAGAAAAACAAGAAGGGAAAAAGATAATTTATGCTTTTGAAACTTGACAGTGGCATTCATCAACTTACTGGAAGGCATCTTTGACGAATCCGGACTGCTCAGCCACGTCACCTCCGATTTGAGCGGAGAGGGCGAGGTATTCGGCTAGGGGCCCGGCCACGATGTCCGAATACACCTGGATGCTCATGGTGCCGTTTTGCAGATCTAAACAAAACAATCAATCAACAATAAATAAATCACATAAAAATCGGGTCGGGTCTTGAGCAGGCCCAAGCCGTCTCTTTTCTGTCCAACGGAACAAAACACTGACGGAAAAGTTAGCCGAGCTTTCTCAGTGTAACCCTTCCTCTATCAGCATCGGCCCACTCGAGAGCGACTGATCCCAACGGATTCCTAGCGCCGCGAATCCTGGCAGGACCGGGGAAAGGAGATGGGGTGGGGGAGGAAGGCATCACGCCAAGAAACAGCAACGGTCTCGATGCCGACCACACGTGGGCGAGCGCGGCTAGCGGCGTTCTGCGTCCCAACAAACACCCCGCGATTATGCAACGCGCGTCTTCGTCCTCCGAAAGCAAGGCGACGGGGAGGGCGAGGACGAGGACGACCCGCGCGAGGAAAACAACGACAGGGAGACCAAGGACAGCTTCAGGATCTGCGTGCGTATGACCAGGGCCTACCCACCCCCATCCCTGCACGCCCCTTACGAGGCAGCTTGCATTGCTCCCTCGGCCGCGCTGGCCCCCGGCCGGGCCGGGCCCCACCAAGCCCACCGGGGCGAGGCGGGGCCCAGCAGCCCCACCAGGGCTACCCTCCGGCCTCGGCGTGGCAGGCGTGGCCGGCCCTCTAATCCGTTTAGTGCCGGCGCGGCAACGCACAGCAGGGGGCGGCAAAATCGCTGGCCCCAGCGTGCAAAAATGTTCCACAGAGAAGAAGAGGCGGCGCCGGCGCCCTGACCCTCCGTCCGTCCAAGCGAGAGGGAGGCCGCGTGGTGGCTTCGAAGTTGGAACACCAATGTTCGGATCGACTCCGCCCGCGCGTCCGAGGGGCCAATACGGGACGGGCTTGTCCTGCCTGCAAAACTGCAAGATGCAGAGGGCAAACGCGGCGAACAAAAGCGGGGGTGGGGGCTCTTCCCAACTCTTCGGCTAGCGCCTCGCTCGCTGGCCCAGTCTCGCCAGCATAATGTTTAGGCGCGCGGCCTCAGGCGTGACGGTCACGCGACCGAAATACGACGCGAGGGCCCCGCCCCGCCCCGCCCAGCCACGCGCGGCCCGCCTCGGGGCCTCTAGCATGCAGAGCCGACGGCCGGAGCAGCAGAGTGCTGGAGGCGCGCTGGAGGCTGCATGCAAGTCCAGTCCTCTCGACGCGAGCCAGGCCGCGGCGCGCCGTGGCCGGGGTAGTCAACGACCGCGGGGGCCGAAGGGTCCCACCTTGCGAGGACGAATTTATGGCCCGCGGAGACAACGGTGCGCGTCCCTGGGGCCGTGGGGGAGGGGGCGCACAGTGGTCCAGAGGACCGGCCGGGCGGCAAAAATTCTGGACGAGTTTTGAGCCCCAGAGTCGCTTCGAACTCCGCAACCGAACGTGCGACCCCACCAATGGGTTGCTCTCCGAACGAGGATTCCATTGGTGGGGTCACACGTTCGGTTCGAATCCTTTCCAGCGACTCTGGAGCTCAAAACGCGTTTAGAGTTTTGGCCGCCTCCGCCGGTCTTCTGGCGCACTGTGCGCGCACTGTGGGGCGGGGAGGGAGCAGCCACCGGACTGACCGAAAGTCACAGTGCGCGGGGGCGGGGCGCCGGGCGACGCGGCCGGTGGTTGGTGCGGCTGGTGCGGCTGCGGCGGCGACTGCGGTGCCGGAGTGTGGCCCAGGCTCTGGCCCGGGAACAGCGCGGCCGTCTCCACGACGCGCACAGACCGCTCCAGTCGGCTTGTCACGTTCTCCAGGCGGCACAGCAGCTCCTCCAGGGGCGGCTGCACGGGCGTCTCACCTGCAACAGAAACACGGGGGGCGGCGTCAGGCAAGGCGTCAGGTCGGGGTCTACGCTGGGCTCGGTGGTGCGGTGGGTGGAACCGCGGCGTGACGGCGTCACCACGCTCGCCGCGAAGCGCGTCACGAACCACGCCACGTCACGACACCGACGACGGGCGTGACAACAAGGGGCCGCGGCGGCCAAAGGAGCCGTGAAATTCACTTAATGAGAGCGGCACTGTGAGTGCACGGGGCGTGACGTGCACGCAGTACGCAGTGCCATGGCAGACTGATTACGCGCAGCGCGTTTCGTCGCTGTCGCTCTCTCTCTCTCTCTCTCTCTCTCTCTCTCTCTCTCTCTCTCTCTCTCTCTCTCTCTCTCTCGCACCTGTCCGGGGCGGCCATGAGTGCAAGCGAGACTGAGCGACGACAGCCATGAGGAAAATCAATCCCGCTGACTCCAAAACTAATCACCGAGCAGAGCGATTCCAATTGTCTCTCGCGCTAATGAGGCGTTCCGCGTTTCCGTTCAGCCACGAGAGAGACAGCGCGACGAAAAGCTGGTGCATCTGCGGGCGAGCCAGGCTGGAGCCTCCCAGGCGCGAGGTAGGCAACCGCCTTGGCGTTGCGCACACTAGCCGGCCGGGCTGCCTACCCGCCACGGCGCTCGCCGCCGCCGAGGAGACCGAGCGGCACCGCCAAGCAGCAGGCCGATTCCGAGAGTCGTTTTCGTGACTCTGTCTCTCTCGGATCTGCAGGGGACGCCCCGTGAGTGCGAGAGAGACAGAGCGACGAAAACGACTCTCGGGACGGAATCAGTTGGCCACCCCCGCGACAGGGGGCCTTGGGGCGGCATCGACGGCCTCGCGCCGCAGAGCCGCAGGGCAGCCACACCCTCTTCCTTCCGGCGGGGCCGCCGCCGTGCCGCCGCCGCGGCCAAGATCGCCGAGATAGAGTGCGAAAAGTGAAGCGGCGACACGGAGCGTGACGTACATGCATCCACACGCGTATCAACGTGAAATCATCGCCGTGCCCAACCCGCACTGCCTCCGCATGCTGCGCTGCTGCGCCCCGCACGCGCCGCACGCATCACGCACGCCACGCGCCGGCCGGCTGGCCCAGCCTAGCCCAGCCTAGCCCAGCCTGGGATCGCTCCGTCTCTCTCGCACCCAGACGAAGCGCCCCAGGAGTGCGACAGAGACTGGTGCACCTTCGGAATGGCTCGGCTGGTGCAGGCTGGTGCAGGCTGGTGCCGCTTCCGGCAGTGTAGTCCGCTTATCGCCTCGCGCGGCCCCGCCGGATAGCGGGCGGGGCCCCGCGGCCAGCCCTGCGCCCTGCCACCACGCCGATCCGATAGTCGTAATCGTCCGCCAGTGTTTGGAACAATCGGCCCGGCGCGACGTGCAAGTGGCGGCGTCCGTCGCGTCACCAACTACCGGTCCAGGGCGACGTCACTACGGCGGCAGGCAGGCAGGCAGGCAGGCCGGGCATTCCGAGAGAGTCGCGTCAGCATCAGCAGGGGCCGTCGCCGTCAGCGCCTCAGAGCGTCGCGGCGGCGATGGCGGTCGCACTGACAGCGCGTACCGTGTACCGCGCACCGCGTCAGCTGACGGCCTGACCGGACACGGGCGGTGGGCGTGCCAAGGCGGCCGCAGCCCGGCCCGCCCAGTACGCAACAAAAATCCAGAAACAACTAGACCGCACACTATTTATTTCTATTCGTCGCGGTTGCGCTCCGCGTCTATTTCCGTCGCGGTGCTGGTAGGCGTGCCGGCGTGCCTCCTAGGCGGCAGCCGGCGGCAAGGTCAACGGCCCGGCACCAAAGGCACGTCGAAAGGCAGGCAAAGGCAGCCAAGCGCCGTGCTAAAGACCCGGCGACACCGCCGAGCCGCGGACTGCGGACGTAGCAGACAGCCCTGCGCACACACCGTTAGGCCGGCAGACCGCTTCAATAACACACCTCGGCACGCTGCGCGGCTAGTTCCCGACCTCGGCTCGACCGCTCGCTCGACACACTGCTGCGCGGAGCACGGACGCGGACGGACTGGTGCGCGGTCTGCCGCGGCCTGGCTCGCGACGTCGGGGGGCTTGGCCGGGCTTGGCGGCGGACTCGCGGGCAGACGGGGCGGACTGCGGGGCCGGGCCGGCGGCTCAAGACTGAGTCACACTTGGCTACAGTGGAGCGGTCGCGATGATGGGATGGGCTGGCTAGGGCCCTGCTGCCGTGCCTGCGCCCCTCCCCTCCCCTCCCCGCCCCTCGGGCGCGCGCTGGCTCCTGGCGCCGACACGGGCCGTACCGGTAGCAAGCCGCGGAGGCAGCGAGGCGGGGCGGGGCGGGGCGGGGCGGAAGGACGAGCCTCCGCGAGCTCCATTGACCGCGGCCCGCGGCCGGGCTCTTCAATACTTGGCTCGGCATTCTGGGACTCGGTGCTGGCGGTGCTGGGGCCAATCGGGGCAGGGCCCGGCAGGGCGGGCCGCGGAGACCTGTGTCACGGTCGGCTGGACACGCCGGGCCGGGCAGCAGCCAGTGCAGCCAGCGCCAACCCGTTGGGAACAGGGCTGTGGCGCAGTCGCTGGACTGCCCTGCCTTGCCTGCCCATGACGCGGTGACCGCCGCAGCGGCGGCCTTCCCCACTGCGGTCGCCACGCCACTGCCATGCCCATTCTCCTCCATGACGGCCCAGACGGCCACGTCGCCGTGCCACGCCGCCACGCCCCCTTCCACTACACTAATTAATGATCCGCGGCACTGTTTATGCCGCGCGGCCGCGCCGCAAGCAAGCAAGCAAGCAAGCAAGCAAGGAGGACGGCGAGAGGAAGGCGAGTAGGGTAGCGCGGCCAGGGAAGCCCCAGCCAGGCGTATTACGTTTCGCCCCGGGGGTGAGTTCAGTCAGCCCGGGTCGCCTCCGCGACATGGCGGTGGCGGCGGGGCCGTGTGCACCTGGGGCGTGCGGCGCGGTGCGGTGCGGCGTGTGCTCACATCAGCCCCCGCCGCGCAGCCCCGCCGGCCCCGCCCGTTACGGCGCATTACCCTCCCCTCCCCCTCCCCTCCGCTCCTTTTTTCCCCCAGTTGGTTCCAGCAGCAGCCCTTAGTAGCAAGCCAGCAACCCCGTCGCCGCGCCGTCTCGCTGAATTAAATTTGCGGCGGCCGACGGGGACCTCCGGCGTTGTCTCTCCCTCGCACCCCTGCGGGACGCGCCACGAGTGCGAGAGGGACAGCACTGTCTCCGAATACGAGCCGCTGCCAACGCGGTGCACGGGGGCACCGGCGAGCCAGCCAGGGCAAATAAACCGAATTGTTTGACCGGATCGGCCATCGGCGCCATCGGCTCGCCACGCATGCCACGGCCAGTCCGCTAACTTTTCCAATAATTGGCGCGAGTCGGCAAAAAAATTGGTATATGATGGAACGAGAAAGCAGGACGCTGACGGGCGAAAAAGTGTCGACTTCCAAACGCCCCTCGTTCGCGCGATCCGTGTGCCAATCACCGGCAGCCAATTTCTTTTTTCGTTTTTTTTTTGCCGCGATTTTGGCCGCTTCCTGTTCATAACGCGCACGCCGCCCATTTGTTCTAGTTGGCCGACCCGCGGGAATAAAACCGTGACAGAGTTAATCCAGCGCGTGTTTTTTTTTTTTCAAACTTTTTTTTTTATAGTTTTTGGGGGATAGCGACCCAGACTGGACTCTGCGTACGCCGCGCCGCCAGGGGGGAAGGGGCAGACGAAAAATAAGACCGAAAAAGAGAGGCAGCGACGGGCGAAAAGTTTGAGCTGAAGCTCGGCTGAAGCTGCCTGGCTGGCTGAAACCCGGCTCCCTCTCCCTCTCCCTCCTCCGTCACCGGAACCGGGGCTGCGTCCGCGAGTCCGCTGTGGCGCGGGGCATTGTTTCCACGCCACCCGGTGCCCTTTGACTACACCTGGCCGTGGCGCGTGGCCGCTCCGAGGCCCGGAGTCCGGACTCACAGCCAGACGCCCCGGGGCCGGCATGGCATGGCCGGCATGGCATGGCCCGGCCGGGGGACGCCGGCGTCACAGCCAAAAGCTCGCCTAAGCAGCAGGCGGCTCAAAGCCAGAGCCTCAGAGCCAGCCGAGCCAAAGCAGCTCACACGCGCCACGCCATTCCCGCTTTATAATTCAAACAGTCGAGACAGACGGCAGCGCCTCGCGCCTTTGACGCCAACTGTACGTACAAAGTACGAAGTCGCCGGGTGAATCACCGTCGCGAGGATCCCGGCGGGGGTCTCAGAGTCTCAGGACTCCGCCGCTTCCGAGCACCTCTCCGTCGCTCTGTCTCCCTCGCTCCCCAGCATGACGGCGCACGGGAGCGAGGGAGACAGAGCGACGGCAGCCTGCCCAGCCTGCCTCGCCGGCCGATGGACGCGATAAAAGTGCACCGCCGCTGCAGCTACACAACATTCTTGCGGAATCTAAAATAGTTGCTCGGGCTTTCTGGTCGCGTCGAGACGTCGAGACGAGGAGGCGAGTGGTCGAGACGGAGGGGTGCTGCTCGCACAGCACACTGCTCGCAGAGGGAGCGGAGCGGACCAGTCCGGAAGCAGAGGAGGAAACAAACTCGTTCGTTTCCTTCTTTGAGCGTCGGCCAGAGTAGAGCCGGGGGCAGGCTGTCTCGCTGGACGGGGCGGGGCGGGGCGCGGTGGGGCGGGGCGCCAAACACAGGCAATAAAAGCGCAGAGCGCCCCCCTCAGTCTTTGAACGCGAGGCTGGCGGGGCAAAGGCGGGGCGGCCCAGCTGCGCCCCCACACTGTCTTTGTCTGTGTGTGTGTGTCTGCTGTCCCGACGCCTAATTTGGCGCTTGATAAGAACTTCGCCAGGGTTGCCACAAATATGAAATTTTCATTTTCCCTGACTTTTCCCTGACTTCCAGACCAATATTTAATGTATTTCCCTGACTTTTCGGATACTTTCCGGCAGTGGGTATGTAAGTGATGGTTATCAAACGAAATAGGGTCAAGGGTCGTTGTGCCACTTATTTCCGTTTCCTGTCATTTCATTTTCCAC